CCAAGATGGATGGATCATGAGGTCAAGAGATCAAGACTATCCTGGCTAACATGGTAAAACACTGTCTCTACTAAAAATACAAAAATTAGTTGGGCATAGTGGTATACACCTATAGTCCCAGCTACCCGGGAGGCTGAGGCAGGAGAATCACTTGAACCCAGGAGGCAGAGGTTGTGGTGCGCCAAGACTGCACCACTGCACTGCAGCCTGATTACAGAGTGAGACTTTGTCTCAAAAAAGAAAAGGACAAAACAAAACAAAAAAAGAAATGAGAGTTACTTCAGGTTAATTTCAGCATAGCCCAGTCTAATCTAATAAGAGCTCCTGTGCCTTACTAATTATTAACAAAAGTCTTTCCTATATTTCTTCAAGCTCTGTTTAAATTTTTCCGTGTAAACTGACATATACCCAAGGTAGGTAGTTGCCTTTTTTAACACTTTGGCTGGAAGGTGATTTTGTTAGGAAAGACATTGATATTTCTACTGAGGATAATAAACTCAGGGAAAATTGAAAATGGCAACAAGAAACCTTTCACTTGCTGAAAAAGCTTGCTCTTTTCTTTTCCTTTTTCCTCACTGTCAACATACAATAAATGAAGAAAATTTTCTGAGGAAATGCCCTAATAATTTGTGGAAATAATCTCAAAAGATTTTAAGATTTTCAATTAATACCTCATCATTCTTGAAATTGGATTCTACCTTTTAGAAAGCTATACCCATATTTTTTAGCTAAAATTTTTAAAAAGCAAAAATAGTATTAACCAAGAAAACAATAGCTCAAATGTTAACCTGCCCTCTCAATAATCCGAAAAGCTTACAGATTCTATTTTCAAAGAATGATGTTCATATAAATATTCTTTCAGCCAGTTCTTTTTTTGTAATTTAGTTGTCCACATTCTTTTCACATTGTTATATTTTACACACATATGCACAAAAATTATGAGCCTTCAAGAAGAAAAGATATGTGGTCATTTCTTCACTGCCAGCACACAAGATTTTAAGAGTTTATTTTAAAATAAGGCAAGGAACCCTGGGAGTCTGAGTTGTTTCTTTATTAGAGGTGTGAGACCTGGCCCCATTTCTGTTCTGGAAAAAGTCCATTGACACCTTGAATCACTTGGTAACATAAATCAAAATTAAGCAAGTCTTAGAACATTAGTTGTATAAGCCATAGCAAGTAAAAAATAGTAAGAGAAATATAACCTGATGTTTGAATGCATTCACATAAAACTCCACTATATTTACTGCCCAGCAGGAATATGTCAAAATAATTAGACAAGCATTCTGTACGTGAGAAATCTGTGGAGGACTTGAAATAATCATGGGGCCAAAAATGTAGGCACATGTAAATGAAAACTACATATGAACTGTTTGCTCCCACTGCACATCTTTGAACTAAGAACTGTATCTATCACACACCAGGGCCTGTTGAGGGTAGGGGGCAAGTGGAGGGAGAACATTAGGGCAAATACCTAATGCACACAGGGCGTAAAACCTAGATAACGGGTTGATAGATGCAGCAAACCACAACATGTATACCTATGTAACAAACCTGCACATTCTGCACACGTATCCCAGAACTTAAAGTAAAATTATCAGTTTTAAAAAAGAACTATCTCTGGCCGGGCACGGTGGCTCATGCCTGGAATCCCAGCACTTTGGGAGGCCAAGGCGGGTGGATCACTTAAGGTCAGGAGTTCGAGACCAGCCTGACCAACATAGAGAAACCCTGTCTCTACTAAAAATACAAAAAACTAGCCGGGCATAGTGGTGCATGCGTGTAATCCCAGCTACTCGGGAGGCTGAGATAGGAGAATTGCTTGAACTCAGGAGGCTGAGGTTGCTGTGAACAGATATCACGCCATTGCACTCCAGCCCGGGCAACAAGAGTGAAACTCCATCTTGAAAAAATTAACAAAGAACTATGTCTATAATTTATTAGAGTGACTAGATAAACAAGGTTCCTTTAGTATTGCTTAATGACAGGAGTCACAGATGAAAATTGTTAACATGCCAAGTTGGAGGACATTTTATTATCCTAGTAGCTGGTTCAAGACTTTCTCTTATGTAAACATTTGACTTTGCTAGAAAAATATCATCATAAGCCCCTTTGGCATAAAATCTGAAATGCAGCAGTGTTTGGGTGTGTAAAGAAAGACCTGCAATGAGGCAGTGAGGGGAAGAGGAGAGGTGCAGCCTGTAAAGTGGGGAGAGCAGTGTGACAGAAGAAGTGACACCACAGTGTCAGCCTCAGTAGAAAAGAGGTGAAGAGTCTGAGCTTTGCCTTCATGTTAGCATCAGGAGAAATCACGGCAGTACACCAGGACACCTGAAGAAATAAGTTATTGGAAATTCATACCAATTATTGCAAGGTGCACTCCAATCTTAAAGGCCAGGGCTGATGCCAAGATCATTCATCACCATCTGATATGGTTTGGCCCTGTGTCCCCACCCAAATCTCATATTGAATTGTGATCTTCAGTGTTGAAGGAGGGGCCTGATGGGAGGTAACTCGATCATGGGGGTGGATTTCCCCCTTGTGGTTCTCATGATAGTGAGTGAGTTCTCATGAGATCTGGTTGTTTAAAAGTATGTAACAGATCGCTTGAGGTCAGGAGCTTGAGATCAGTCCGGGCAACATGTCTGTTTTTTAAAATTAAAAAATAAAAATAAATAAAATATTAAAAGTGTATAACACTTCCCCTTCTCTCTCTCTCTCTCTCTCTCTCTCTCTCTCTCTCTCTCTCTCTCTCCTCTCTCTCTCTCTCTCTCTCTCTCTCTCTATGTCCTGCTCTGCTATGTGATGATTGTGCCTACTTCCCCTTTGCCTTCCACCATGATTGTAAGTTTCCTGACACCTCCCCAGCCATGCTTCCTGTACAGCTCACAGAACTGTGTGCCAATGAAACCTCTTTTCTTTATAAATTACACAGTCTCAGGTAATTCGTTATAGCAGTGTGGGAACTGACTAATATACCATCATAACTAACATTTATTAAGTTCTTAATTATGTACCAGATAATGTTCTAAGAGCTATATTCATATTAACTCAATAAATCCTTACACCAGCTATGGAAGGTACTATTAGTCTCCATTTAACAGAAGAGGAAAGTGAAGTGCATAAAGGTTAAGTAATGTGCCCAAGGTTACCCAGATTGGTATGTATTTGTGTCAGAGATAAGATTCAAACCCCAGCCCTCTGAACTCAGAGCCTCCCCTTTGTACCATTGTGCTGTCTCTTATTTTATTACAAGAGACTGTAAAGTTCATCTAATTCAGTCTTCCAACAAACGCAGCTTCCTTATAACAAGCCATGCTCTTACTAGATGCCCACTGTGATGAGGAGGTCTCTAATCTGAGAGCCAGAAGTATTATACGAGAAAACATACTTGACAACTTTTGAAGACAGAAAAATCACCCACTTTTGTCAGTACCTTTGGGAAACCAGTTTTGTAAATCATCAATGAAAATAAAGTATCACTTAAAATTCCTCAACAACACATCAAATTGTATGGTAAATAAAGCATTCTTTACTGCAGAAGGCCATGCAGGCATCTTACTGACTGACTCATCAGTAAATCCACATATTTTGTATACATGAGACCACAGAATTTATGTCTTAGAAGACATCCAAACAACTAAGGTATGCACCAAAACTAATCTGTATGTCCATGAGTCAGACAACCAGGACAACAGGTTTAATAACTACAAAACAAGAAAGAGAAGGACAATGGTCACCAAAAGGCACATTGGTGACTAATGAGTTATGACTAACAATATTTCAAAGACAGTTGCAACATAATTGGAAATGGTAGCAACTACATACTGGGAACAATAGTGATTATTGTCTGGGTCATAGAAAAATAATAGTATTTAAGTTAATATACTAATACTTCCTGAAAAATTTACCAGAATTTTAGTAACATCTATAGACTCACAAAAAGTATGTCCTTAACAGATAACGGTGGAAATAATGTTTCCTTTAAATTCCCCAGCAAGTTTAAAATTGTGTTTCATCTCTGAAAAAAACAAAACAAAACAAAACAATTAAGGCCTCATACAAGGGCTCACACCTATAATCCCAGCTGTTTGGGAGGCCAGGGCAGGAAGATTCCTTGAAGTCAGGAGTTAGAGACCAGGCTGGGCAACATAATGAGACCCTGTATCTACAAAAAAATTTTAAAAATTAACTGGGCATGGTGGCATACTTGGGAAGCTGAGGTGAGAGAATCACGTGAGCCTGGAAGGTCAAGCCTGCAATGAGCTGTGACCATGCCACTTCACTCCAGTCTCGGAGACAAAGTGAGACATTGGCTCAAAAACTAAATAAGCAAAAAAGAATTAAACCAAATAAAGAATGGATACCCCAGTGAGGAGTTAAGACATATAATTCTTTTAAAATCATTTCATAATAGAAAATCAGAGGAATAATGAGAAGAATTATTTAGATATTCAACTCCAGTCTTTCCTAGATCATTAGGAGTAAACCCATAAACTTTAGAGGTGGGGGACATCTTAAGATTATTTCACTGTTACACTATAATTATTAAATATAAATATTTAATTGTAATTATTGGTCAATTTAAATCAGTAAGTATCCCATTTCTAGAACATTCAATTTATGCTTGGGCATCTAAACACACACAATTGCTTATAAAATGGACTCTTCATGTAATTATAGTTCTAAAGTACTTTGATAGTCATGGTATATTCCTTACTCTGAGAGAGGCAAAAAGAAAAAAAAAATGAACAAATAAATAAATAAATGACATTAGTAGACAAGTCTCCCGCTGAAAAGTAATCTTCAGAGGACCAAAGATAGTTAGCAATTTATCAATACTATTAACTTCCCTCTGCATAAATCCTAGCCTAGGGATAAACATATCTAGGCTACACTAATTTAATTCACAAATTAGAATAACAAAAAGAAACTCAGGCCTTTCAGGTCATAAATATCACTAAAGAGAAAGAATTTGTTGCAAAGAGTTTTCAATTACATACCAAAAAGTTATGAACTTTCTTGGTCCAGTTCTGTTGTCTTTGACCTTTACAGGGGAAAAAAAAAAGAGAGAGAGGAAGAGAAATGTGAACCATGAGATTTCTGCCTGTACTTAATCACCTAGGAGAAAACAATCCCACCACATGAACCCCAAGAAGCAGCAACAAAATAGTAAGTTGGTCATCGTGATAATGTTAGAGTAGATAGCTCAGCAAACACAAACAGGTCAGGAGCGTCATTACCACCACCCAGGAATGTCAGGCAATGTTAAACCATCAGGTGATGGTCAGGCAGTTGTTAAACTGTCTCTCTAAAATAATAATTGGTGGCAGCTGGTGCCAGGGAAAGGCAGTCTCCCAACAGATAGGAAACAGTTGACGCTGGTGATCATCAGCTTCCTGATGAGATCTCAGGAGCTGGCCAATGGGTCCAAGCATGTGCAGTAAGAGGCAAAATGGCAGAGTTTAACTGGTATATGACCTCCCTCCAGGAACACTTGGCCGGTAAGGGAAAAATGCCTCAAGTGAGCATGCACACAGCTTCAGTAAACACACTGAGCATGCTCTCCTCTCAAGTGCTGGCAGGCCACGACACATACCTGCCCTGAGGGAAGAATCAGGGGAGAAAAGACAGAAACCCCTGCACCATGCCAATGTGTAAAACCTCGAGCCAAAGATCAAACAGGGCACTTGGATCTCTCAAGTTGTTTGCTTGGCACTTTCCCAAACGTACTTTACCTCCTTTTGTCCCTGCTCTAAAACTTTTTAATAAGCTCTCACTGCTGCCCAAAAACTTGCCTCAGTCTCTCACTCTATGTCATGCCCCTCAATTCCTTCTACGAGGGAAGAGTCAAGTTGCTACAGTAAGTACCCCATTTCTAGAGCATTCACTTTATACTTGGGCTTCAAAACACACACAATTGCTTGTAAAACAGACTCTTCGTATAATTAAAATTCTAAAGTACTTTGATAGTCATGGTATATTCCTCACTCTGAGAGGCAAAAAAAAAAAAAAAACCAGAAACAGAAAAATAAATCACTCAACTCATAAATAAATAAATAACTCTAGTAAACAAATCTGTACAGAGTCACCTGTGCTACCAATAACTTCCCAATGTCTCTCTCAAAAAATGAAAACAAAGTTTTATCTCGTAGGAAAGAAGATCTGGGAAGCAAATTATCACAAAACCATTAAACTGAGATCCTCACAATGGCATTCTTTTTCTAAAGAGGATAGTTAAAAATAATGTTCTAACCCGCTGAACTCACCCCATGATACGTTTTTACTTCACTTTTAAATGCCATGAAAGATGTGCATGTTCTCTCGTGGCTTGAGAACTTCCATCCGTTTTCTTGGAATTTTTCCAGTGGGAAAATGTTCAAATTAGTAACAACAATTCCATGCATTGCCTAAAGCATATATTTATAAAAACACAGATTTTTCTTTTTTTAAATCTATATATTTGCATCACACAGAAAAATAAAGTGGTAGGAAGGTACGATCTGTAAAGGACACATTTCGAGATCTGTATTTTAATAACTCAATCTACTTGAGTACTAGGATTTTTTAAATTCTTTTCCAAAATTTTATTTTGAAAACATTTTAAACTATAGAAAGTTTGTAGGAATAGGTAGTAGCAATGAATACCCACATGGCTTTCACCTTGATTCCCAAATTATAACAGTTTTCCAGGTTTGCTTTATCTCTCTGCATATCTAAACATTTCGCTGAACCATGTAAGCCCCTGGTAGACCTAAAGATGGTTTACCCTTACATACCTCAGCTTGTACCTCTTAAGAGCAATGATCCTACCATAGTTACGTAATTAATAATGGTCACACTCAGGAAATTTTAAATTGACACAATTCTATCTATATGCAGTCCAAATGTTCCAATTTTAACACTAATGTCTGTTTCAGTGTGGAAGATTTGTTATACCTTACTTTAAATTCTGGATTTAATCAAGGATTACCAAGGAATGTCTCTAGTCTCCTTATATTTCTCACGACACGTTTTCGTAGCGTCCAGGCCAGTTGCTTTGCCTAATAGCCCTCAGTTTGGATTTGACTGATTGTTCCCTCATGACTAAGTCAAGCATTTTTGGCGGAGGTAGTCACAGGTTGGAATGCTTTCCTTCTTTTTATATATTAGGAAAACCACATAACATGTTGGATTAATATTTTCTTTCAATCACTTAATAACACTTAGTGATTGCCTCCTATAAAGTAAATTTAGTGTCACAGTTTGCAATTCACAAAATGCTTTGATGTGGATTAATTTATGCAATTTTCACTACAATCCCAAGAGGTAAGCTTTTTATTTTGGTGATCTTTTCTCTTCTGAATAGAATTTTATCCAAATTCATACAACCGGCAATTCTAGTTCAGTGGCCAAAACTTAAGTGTAGAATTACTGTAAAACTCACCCTAGAGTAAGAAACCCTCTATTTTCATGTCAGTTAAATCTAGGTCCCTTTTTCTCTTTTGTAACCTGTACTTCCCATTGTCCAGACTCCTTGCCTTACAGTTCTTATTTTGTTGTGTTAAATTACAAGGTAGTGAGGTATCATCATTTAGCTAAACATTTTTTCAACCACAATTATTTCAAATTATAACAATTAAACCAGAAACAATGGGGGGAAATGGGTATTAAATCAAAAGTGAGTGATACGTTAAAATAAGCTAACACTCAAAGTGGCTTTTCTTCATGTATTTGCCTTTGCTTTGGTGCAGCTAATCACGTGCCAGCTCTTCCTCTCTCCCCAAACAAGAGCTTATGTCACTTCCTTCTACTTTCCAAAACAATGAAAACAGTATTTCCTGATGTGGTCATCTATATGTTTACAAGAACTTTTTAGCTATTAAATTACGTAGTTTTTCTGATTTACTTTTTGCCTTGGAGCCTCACAATTGCTGTGTCGTTTAGTTTAGAATCAAGTCAAGAAAAGCTCAGGAATCAGTGTATGTAACTTGAGTCACAACCAATAACACGAATCTCTAAGTAGACATAACAGCCAGAAGGAGAAACAAACAGGTTTCCCAACTTATAGGTCAAGGGTACTGAAGGGAGCAAAAGCCAGAAAAGGTTTAGAGTGGTATCGAAATTTAAAAAGCAATACCGGCCGGGCGCGGTGACTCACACCTGTAATCTCAGCACTTTGGGAAGTTGAGGCGGGTGGATCACGAGGTCAGGAGATCAAGACCATCCTGGCCAACATGTTGAAACTCCATCTCCACTAAAAATACAAAAAAATTAGCCGGGCATGGGGGCATGTGCCTGTAGTTCCAGCTACTCGGGAGGCTGAGGCAGGGAAATCGCTTGAACCAGGAGGGAGAGGCTGCAGTGAGCTGAGATCACACCACTGCACTCTAGCCTGGCGATAGAGCAAGACTCCGTCTCAAAAAAAAAAAAAAAAAAAAAAAAAAAAAAAAAGCAATACCACCTAAGTCCAGGTAAGTGCAACTGCATATGCTTATCTGGGTGGCATTAGACTTAGCTATACCATCTAAAACATTTTCAGTATAGAAAGATCTTGAAGAAAATAGGGTGCAATTTTCCAGTGACAAAAACCACTTTACTAAGCCTCAAGCTAAAATAACAGATCAAGATTCATTTACTGCTTCATCCATGTACATTTCCCTAACACTAAGTGATCTGAATATCTCACTTCAAAGTTAAAGCACAATTAGAGCAATTTAAAATGTCTGAATAAGGATTGTAATATTATTGCCATTGTCCAGTGTTCAATTTCATAAAGAAGCAGGAACAGACTCCTGAAAATAAAAAAAACCCAGAGAAAAAAATGAACTATGTTTTCCACTTCTACAAAGCTCTTAGGGCATCACATGACTTTCTTTCGAATTGGCATATTACACACCCCCTAAAAAAACTGTATACTTTTATCCCAAGAAAAGCATTAGTCTTATTCTTTATTTGAATTAGTTTTTAGGCCAAATGCAGTAAAAGAAGTTGCATACATGATTGTGCTTAATGTATAAATTGTGGCAAGACAAGAAGTAGTAAGAAATGTTTCTACTGTGAAGTCTTTAATAGAACATGTATCATTCATTTTTCCCCACTAATCCTCAACAGACTCCTATTATCTTCATATAACTAGAGAGGCTGCCTGCCATTAATTTAATCACTGTGATTTCCTAAGAAATAAAGACTGATGTCTATTGAAAATTATTCCAATTATGTCTTTGAACATGAGTTCAAAACTGGTAAAATTACCACTTTCAATAATATATTAACCTCCTAATTGTTATTCTCACAGTCATCTTAAAGCAAAGAATGACATTGGGGCCTAATTCTTTTATTCAACTTTGAGACACAATTATTTATAAAACTTTGCTCAAGTTCAACCCACTCCAGGTATAATCTAACCCTTTAAAATACATCCTAAGAAGCAATTTCTCTGCTTAAGAACAAAAACTGGGCCGAATGCTTTTTATTGTATCCCACAAAATCAAACTATGTAACCACTGGAAAATAAGTAGAAAATCACTAGGTAAAAATAGAGAAAAGATATCTCACAAAAACACCAATGATAAAAGTACTGGAGGCTGGAGGCTGTAGGTTATGTCTCTAATCCCAGCACTTTGGGAGGCCAAGGCTTGAGGATTGTTTGACCCCAGTGAGAGAGCCAAGTATAATGGGGTCCCCAACATCCTCTGACTGGCCTGTGCACTGGGAGGCATGCGCATTGGGGTAGAGCTATGGAATTTCACACCATTTGCAGAGGGGAGGATTCTGGCTTCTCCTGTTCCCAGGTTGTAACTGGGAAGTCAATCTGTGAGGCAGGAAGCCTAACAGCAGGACCCTTGCTTTGCTAGAGTCCCTGTTTCCCCCCTTTTTTTTCTTTTTGCTTAATAAACCCTGCCCTTCTCACCCTTCAAAGTGTCTGTGAGCCTAATCTTTCATGGACGTGTGACAAGAAGTGGGCCTTTAGCTAAACTAAGGAGACACTCTTACAATACCTGGAGGTCAAGATCACTCTGAGCAACAGAGTGAGACCCTACGTCTTTCAAAAAATAAAAAATAAAA